TTTTTTTTTTTTTTTTTTTTTTTGATGTTGCTTCATGTTTGAGTTCTTGCGACGAACATCTGTGTACTGAAACGACCTCCTTTCTTTGGCCAACGCTATATGCGGCATGGCATTCAACGGGCGCCTTCCAATGCAGACGTCTTTTGCATTCCTGTCTATGAGGCTCCAATGGGCTGGGTGGTAGGGGGTGGTAAGTTTTTTTTTTTTTTTTTTCGGCGTTCCTCCTTCATGTGATGGCGGGGGTGTTCGTCGCTGCGGGGGTGTGTTTCGGGGGATACTGCTCAATGACAGCACGTGTAAGGGACAAAGGGATGCGAACGCATTGATCCCGCGAAGGCATCCCCTTCGGCCTGCCCCCACCCGCGGCCACATCACCGACCAGTAGACGGCCCCTGTTCCGTACCGCCGAACGGTGCCTTCGACACATGCGCCTTCGCGTTATAAACTTTGCGGGCGCCCATCCACCGATCAGAGAATACAGCAGTCCAGTCCATGCACTCCTGGCGGCGTTGTCGCACGGCGCATTGTAGGGCAGTCGACGGCACGCTCGGCCACGCGACACGCCTACTTTCTTTCAGTCGGACGCCGTGTCAGTCATCGTCGCGAACTGCGCCTGGACACCTCGTCAACACACCTCCTTCTCTTCGGACGCCGTGTTCGTCTTCGTCGCCGAATTCGCTTGGACACGTTGTCGCCGTTGCAAGTTGCGCAGCCCGCGTCTTCGTGGCTGTTCGACAAGGCGTCGTTGCGGCGAGCGCGTGGCAGCCGGGTCATCATTGTCGCCATGAGATACGCGCCGTCCGCGCGTCTGGCGTCTGTTCAATCCAACGCAGATAGTGGCAGGTTGTGCGGCCTTCACCAGTCTCCTCCACCAGCCGTCCGCCGTCGACGCCGTTCGTCTTCACAGCGATGACGAATACGCGCAACGCAGCAAAGGGGAAAAGGGGGAGGGAGTCTAATCAGGGCGAAGCTGCTACCGCCGTCAAGCGGCGGAGGCATCAGGCGAAGAAGGCGAAGGCCTCAAGCGGCGGTGCCCTGGTAATTGGCAGGGCCGCGCGGGAAGCGTGGATCACGGAGGGCAGCAACGACGAGGACGACGATTTTGAATCGGAGGCGGACACGTTTCATGGCTTTAAAGGGAGCTCGCGCGAACAAACCGCCGCGCGAATGATCAGCGGAGATGAAGGGGGCAAAGGTGGCAACGAAGGGGGAGGCGTGAACGTTGCGCGTGGTGACATTGACGCAGGGGGCGACGTGGCAGCCGGTGGTGGTGGCAGGGACGATCGGGCCCGCCAATTGACCCCGACGACGCGCAACCCCGTGCAAGCAAGGGACGTCCCCGCGGCGCATGACATTGGCAGACGGCAGCCGCTGCGGGCGTCGTCGACCCTGGCGACGCCAGCAACGGGACAGGCGAGAAGGGAGGAGGGGGCGGCGGTGACTGCAGCAAGCAGGCCCCAGCCCCCCGCGTGCAGCGGGACGAAGGATGTCGCGGCGGCGGGTGCCATTGTTGGCACGTCGACAGGGGGAGCGGGAGGAGGCGGGGGCCGTGATGGTGATGATGACGACGATCCGCTCATCAAGAGGCAGAGGCGAACGGGAGGCGTGGTGGCTCTGGAGACGAAAGCACGGCTGTGGGTCGACGATCATCGTTTCTGGAATGAGACGGAGGGGCATGGGCTGGTGAAGATGATACAGGAAGCTCGCCTGCACCTCCTGGCCATCGCGAAGGGTGTGAAGCCGCCGGAGATCAGAAAAAGCATCGTGCTGCCTAACTCCATGATACCTCTGCAGAAGATGGAAGACGAGTCCGAGCTGCAGGCCGCCAAGGAGAGGGCTGGGAGGGTGCAGACAATAGCGTTGCGCATCATCCACGGGTGGCTCTTCAAGTCCCCCAATCGCGCACGCGGTTATCACTGCGCGTACGACTAAGTGCTCAACCACGTGGCCACAGACCTGGGCCGCGCCATCTGGTTGGGAGAGGACTGGCGTGTTTGCGTGAGTCCCGCGGTCGTCCACAACATTTTGGAGGCTCGTATGAAGCTCCCCATATGGTACGTTGGCGGCATCATACACGACAGGCACGAGGACGAGGAGTTGGCGTCGTATCAGGAGTCCACAACGCAGCGTCTCGTCGGAGGTTTCACTAATGCTGTTGACGTGGGGGAAGGGGTGGACGGCGGTCGGATTTCGTACGAGAGGTTGAGGAACGTCGCGGACTGCATGCGCCTTTTGCTGTCTGCCGCCATGTGGATCATGAGGATGGCGGGTGATAATCTGCGCTCTCACTACGAGGCCTCCCATCTGATGGAGGTAGTCGCGAAACCGACATTCATTGCGTCGCTTCATCGCTCGTTCAACGCGCGATGCCATGTTCTGCAATGCGTGAACGCCGTGACGGAGAAAATGGGAAAGCCCCTAATGACGTTGGTGGACTCTCCTTTGTACATCCCCGACTGGGTTTCTTGCAGGGTGACTTTCAACAACGACGCGACGTTGG